ACTCCCTTTGGGCTTTCCTGTCTTTACAAGCAGAAGCTGGGAGTGGGGTTAACATTTGCAATCTTGCCTACAGCAACCAAAATGTATCCACAAAACATTAAGTCTTATGAAGTGAAATCTGTCACTCTTGAGACAGGTGGATACGGACAATAGGTAGGTGCTGGACTCCATCTTTAGGAAGTCAAGAGCAGTCAGAAGCCCAAAAAGATTCTTTTGTATGCAGTTAAGTTTTCAGTAGCTGCACATATTTACCTTGAAAAGTGATTATGGAAAACTGCCAGGTATACTAGATAGGACAATCCTTTCTTATCCAGCAGTCCTGTTCCAGCTGCACATAATCTATCTGCTCTCCTTCTTGAAATAAATATGCAAGATTTGTATCCCACTTGCCATGCAGAGCCCACACAGATCTAAAAAAGCGAGCTGAATCACTTTCTGACTCAAACATCAACCTAATTGTTGACTAAATGTAATTCTGAAAGCTCCTGTAAAATCTCATTGTCTTAAAAAACAGCCTTTATTGCTAAAGTGAGCACAACTGATTCATAATTTACTGATACGCAATAAAACAAGAGTGACATTGAATTTCTGTAGGAAGAGAACTGACTTTTTAACATGAATTGGGTTTTGCATAGTTAATGACTAGTCTAAAATAAATTATTTAAATATAACTTTCTAAGTACACAAATATATCTTGTATATAGAGCCAACTGCATAAGAAACCTAAATAGTGAATTTGCACGTTTTAAGAACTTTTACATTGATTTGCATAGTGTTTATCCCGAAAATAGTGCTATGAAATTAGTTTGGTTGCTGTTTACCTTTCAAAGCTTTACTCCATCAAATAAAATAGTGGCTTTGCCTAGTCTTCTATTTGAAGAATAGAATATACAATTATGACTGTAAAATTCAGATTTTTCTCTCTCTTCTACCCTAAGGCACGTGCATGGAGAATATATTTATTTACTTAATTTTTTTTTTTTGCTTTAAAACTCATCAAGATTTCCAATGTAAGTGATAGAATTGGAGCACAAAAGCACTCTGGAGTTTTGAAGCATGCAGCTAGACCCAGCAGTCTGTGCCTGCCCAGGGTGGGGACACAGGTCTGCTGAGTAACCTCTGGCCGGGCAGCACACACGTCAGCACTAAGATTTTTGGACTTGCTTAAGTGACTTTGCAGTACATGGAAAACAACATCAACTTCCTCTGTTATGATACAACATGCACACACTAACTCTCCTTCTTCCTTCTTACCCTGTCTACCAGCAAAAACTTGCATGTGCCATCAGCAGCAATCACCTTGCAAGTCATTACTGCTACTACGTCCTATTTTGACCAGATTCATTTTTGCACTCAGGATTATCTCCTCAAGAGCCATAGCTATTTAAATTGTAAGAACAGACTCAAGTTAAATGAAGAAGCAAGGCAGGGAAAGCCATTTCTGTTTCCATACTGGAGATATGATTGTGGAGTGGAGGCTGGCTCCTTGCCCTCAGACTGCGCGCATTGCAGAGCCCATTTTGGCTCAACTCAGCTCAGGGCTGCAGCAGCCTGGCTGGGTCTGACGCCTAGCAAGTGAGCAGGCTGCACGCTCAACTTCTCAGCAAGCACATACATTGCAGAAAAACCAGAAAGATTTAAGAAAAAGTTCACGTGCGACTTCTGCGTGGCCATCCTTCAGGCAGCCCCTGTGCATCCTCCTCCAATCTCTGTCTTCTCTCTTGGACAGGTCCCCATCAGTACCCCTGCTCCAGTCCCACCAGTGTTTCTTTCTAGTCTTCCTTACTGAGCAACACTTTAGGAAAAAAATAAGAACTCCAAGTGAATTAACTGCTTTTTCTTTACTTAACTGGTTTGCAGGACAAAGTAATCTGAGCACATTTTAATAGGTTAATTTATCATTTTCCATTTTTTCTGTTCTGATTACCAACCTGTTATTTAGTAACTCAGAGTTCACAGACTCAGAATAAAAGATAGAAACTTTCAAAACCTACTGTAATCTGTTGCTGCTTACAACATAATATACAAATCTTGAGGAGGTCAAAAGCATTGTCATTTAGGGTAGAATAAATCAGATCTGTAAGAAGAAAATGCAATGGAAGAAAATTATCCTTTGTACTGCTGTGCAAAAGACTTAGTGCTCTCATTCAAAATGTAACCAAGGTTCCTGATAAAATATCCCATTATCTTGACAGGCTCACAAATTACGATATGTATGCCAATCCAAATTGCATGGTTTGGAAACAAACTTTGTACAGAACTAACCCAGGGCTGACTTTGAAATTAATTTATCTTCACTAGCAACTGGACAGACCCCAATACTCCTGAATCAGGTACAGGAGTGGTAGAAGCATCAGTTTAAGAATTTGGAAGTCATTTTATTGTCCCCTTTGAGCAGAAATCTAACAATTTATATTAACACATGAGGATAGCACATTTAGATGTATCATATACAGATACATGCCTATGAAAAACCTATTCAGAACCTGTTATTTTTTGGCAATTGGGAAGTATTTTCTCCTCTGACATATGGCACAGCTTTCAAAGACCGGGGTTTGAAAAGCCAATTAATTCCTTCTTCCCAAGTCCAATTAGACTTTTATATTCCTGAGAAGTTGCCTTTCCAAAAGTACACAATGTGATTTTTGGGTTGTATTTAGAGAATATCAAAACTG